AGAATGAGTCAAAGGATGCAGAGTAGTGGTCAACAACCTCTGTATACTGTGATAGAAAATTATGGGGAGAGGAAAGGCAAAGAAGGGAGGTATGGATATTAAGCTCTAATTATATGTGTCCACCTTCCTTTCACTGGTGCCCATGTCAATACATATCCTCTACAGTTGGGGTCCTTGAAATCCAGTCTATAACTGTACATTAGTTTAACAAAGCTAGATTCCTTGATCTCTCCATTTCCATTGTCTATCCTTTTCCCTCAAGGAAGCAAGAATTTCATGTTATAAGACTCTAAAAAATGCTCTGCATTAGCTTTTATTTTTTCATTATGGGTCCAGTCAGCCTAGGATACTGTTAGCGGACTTCCACTTTAGCAGCAGGGAATCTCATTTTTACTATGTCCTATGCATTTTACAAGGCCTTGGTGAACCTTAAACGAGATGGATATGTGGGGAATGAATTGCAGAATGATGAAAATGAGAAACACTGAGGATCACAAACACTGTACCATCTGTGCTACTTTGTTGTATTACACAAAAGCACTACTGCAAATGAAATACAGTGTCAAATGAAAGCTTGCTAATCCCACATTGATACCTTGTACTTGGCACAACCTGCTTTCTAAGAGTCCAGTTTGATCACTGACCTTGTTTCACTGATCTGGCTTTGGGAGTAATGCTTTGCTCTTTTGCTGGTATGCCAAGACATAAAAATTCAACGTTACTGTGACTGCACTTATAATGGATTAAGTGTTTAATGTATAAAACTGTGGCTCAATCCAAACTATAGGGTATTGTGACGATCTGCAGTAAGACTTTTGCCAGGAAGGTCATTCAATTTAGAGTCTGAGTTACCAAAAAAATATTCTCATGCCCTCATCAGGTGCATATGCCCAAATGGAATATACATTTTTTTCAGTGGAAGGCAGCCAGCCAGCATTTTACTTATGTTTTGTTATGTTTTATGCTTTGGGAATGAATCTTAGCAAGAACTTTAAGGTCATACAGCTTTCCAGGGAAGCTCCCACCATCCTGAAGCAAGGACTCAAGATATAACAAAGCCATAAATTATGGTACTTGCATTTCCATACACTCCCAGCCTGTTTACCCCATGATAGTCCCCAGGCTACTCCACCTTACCTCTAACGCAACATCTGATTGCAGCCAAAATATTAAACGCACACTTCAGGCCAGGACCTCCTTAATGGTTCCTGCTGCCTGATTGTTCAAGATGGCTTCTGAACTATGATCTCAGGTATGCATAATAGTGTTCAATAATTTTTTATGCTGCTTCAGTCTTGATAATGTTCGATATTGAATTTTAAAAGTGGAAGTAGTTTCCACTCCAGTTTGCTCCACTGCATCACTGAAACACTAATTACCCATGTTCACAGTCCAAACCTGACAAGATTCTCAATAATCACTTATTTCTGCTAATGCTTTTTTACTTAGGTCCCTGCTATACTGCTGCTTTATTCAGTATGTTCAAGGATAACACCCAATACTGGGATGAGACAAGCTGCACTTGTCCAATATACTTTACAAAAAGCTAGTCTTCACTGCTCACTTGCATTTCACTACAAATCTGGAACTGCTGATAAGGATACTGTTCCACTGCTACGGAGGAACACACACAGACACATTGACCCAGCTCTACCAATTATTTAGAACATGGATTAGTTCTTGTTTGTGAAGAGAAAATACCTAAGGAATTTTATAAAAGGTTTGTAAAGAGATCCTTGTTTTTGCTTGTTTGAAATGTAATTCTGAGCTGACTGGAGCCATTGTTTTGGTTTGTATCGTTTCAGTCAAAGCAACTTGCACATAGTTTGGTGTACCTTTTTGCAAAGGACATTTGTTAGTGGGAGACGGAAATAATGGAAATTGATGACACAAAAGCCATGGCTAAAAACTGCACGCTCATTTATTCAGCAGGCAAGCATGTCCTGACACATGCCATGGCTAAAATTGCACACCTTTACAAACAGTTTTATTCCTGCAATATCTAGGCAAAACAGATGAGTTGGGGACAGGATGGTTTTCCATCACACCTATTAAATTGTCATTATCTATTAAAATTAATAAAACATAAAAAAAATGTTCTGGTATACTCATCTGCACAGAAGGTGCATTCTACTGGGATGTTTCTGAAGACTCAATTCAGCAGTAGTCAATTGGTAAAAGTCTAATTCTTAATACTACTGGAACATAGTTTTTGCTTTTTAATATAATTAGAAACTATATCTCTTTTGAAGATTCAGAAACAATGTATAATTTTTATACTTATGGATAACAACACTTAACATTACATATAGTTTTGAAAAGTTCATTATATTGTTTTCTATAAAGTAGTAACAAAAGGACAAAAAATATTCCATTTTTAGAAACTCTTTCAGATCTAATATAAAGTCATAGAACCTAGTAAGAGTTTGTCAAGCCCTGGACCAGATTCTTAGGTGATGCAGTTTGGCATAGCTCTGTTGAAGTTAATGGAGCTGAACATATTTATGCGAGCTGAAGATACGGCCCCATGTGTATAATTCTTAAGAGACCTTCAAGATAGATCTTGTATGATTCTTCTGCTACTATAAGTTGTCTAACAATAATAGGCAGTCCATATTATGGGTTCACTGTAGGATTTGATCTCAATATCTGTATTTTTTCATGGTTTAAAATGCCAGAAGTATAGCCCATTTACACTGTAGATGGATGATTACAAAATTTAGTTAGAATTAAAAAATCTGTAGGAGAGTAAAATCCTGCTATTTTTGCCAGCGCTCTTAATTTACAACAGTTCAATGGATTTTGTTTGTTTGTTTGTTTTTTACATTATATGTTTTTGAAAAATCTTGATCCTGGACTGAGATCTTCTATATCAAGGCTCAGCATGGAGCCAAATGTTATGGTAGAGTTATAAACCCCTTTAAAGGTGAGTTTATAATAAAACCCTTGACTATATTTTAGAGAATGACATTGCAATAAAAAAAATCCATCAAGGAAACACAAATAAAGTGAGCCAGTCTTGGTTGAAAGCATAATATTTGAAGATATGAAAGGGAGAAAATGGAAAGACAACAGCAATTCCTTTGAGCTAGCACTACTTTGCTTACAAAGAATCAGTGAGCATTTGTAGTCAAAGTATCTTCCTACATTACATTCACTGCCAGGGAAGTTTTTTTCAAGCCTAACATTTCCTCTCACCATGATAGCACAACAATCCATAGTGACCTGTGGTTAAATGGCATGTTATGGATCCTTCACTCTAGAGTCCTTCATACCTATTAGATTACAGTAAATGCCTACAAGTTTGTGAACTGATTTTCAAGATAACAATGTTTCAGGTAATAAAGAAAAAAAACAGCATACATTTGGCTACACTCTCTCCTTTCAAAATACATTTAAAAAACAAACTCAAAAGCTCTACTGCATGTTTGGAAAGGCTTTAAGTCACTTTCATCAATGAAACATTTTTATTCAGTGTTTAATGTAACACTTCCATCTCTAGATCTGCTGGCCTGTCATAGTGCATGAAACAGCAAACCACCTGCCACTTCTTCTTGGCAGATTATTTCTGCATCATTACAAGCAAAAAAAATCAATGGAAGACCATTGATTTTGCAACCGGACAAGATTGCCAGACAAATAATACATCATAAAGTTATTCATGTCCTGGTTCTCAGTTGTTTTGAGTCAGCAGACAGTTCACTTCATCATCTTATAATGGCATCCATATTACAACTGTGATCTTTGCAACAATAAAGGACCTGGATGGCTGAACAAATATAAACCCAATAGAATGTGGCAACACTTCAATGCAATATGTAACCTTGAAAAACCTCCTGAAGAGATGCCTTTTCAAATTCAGAACCTATTTTATATCAAGTTAGCATTGACGTTCTTGCTTTCTAGCTTCTCATTCTGTTTTAATAAATAACGGTGGTTGTGAGTAATAATTACATTTTGCCCTTCTGTAGTACCATCACTATGAGAAGCTCAACTTGCTTTATAAACATTAATTAATTTAGGCTCACAATACCCATGTGAGGTAAGAAAAATCATAATTTTCATTTTAAAGTTGGGGAAATAGAGTTACAGAGATTCAGTTGCTCAAGGTCACATAGGAAGTCTATGGCAGAGCAATGAATAGAACATAGGTTTCCTGGCTCCCAGTCATCCTTCATATTACAGCACATCCTATCAGATGAACATTATCGTCTCATTAGCAGTGGAGGTGTGGGCACCCAAAGGGAGGGTGAGTAAATCTCCTATATGAATCACAAACATGATAAAATAACACAAACCCTTTATTAGGTAAGATAACTGTTCATTTGCATATGAAATAAGTACCTGGATGTTTTTCTGACCAGGATAGTGGAATGGAGTATTCAATAAAAAGAGCTAATTCTTTTTTCACTGAAATACAGCACTAGCCAATCAACGTTCCTCAGTTCCATTCATTTTTCATGTAGCACGCAAGGCCATACTGATGGAAAGATAGGGCTTCAGAATGGCTGGTGAGAATTTAAGGGTTTGTAAGGGAATGGAAAGGTATGCTAATTAAGAATGTATATAAATAAAATCCATAGACAGCCATATGTATAAACCTTTGAAATCACTCCCAATTAAAAATGAGAATTTGGTAACTCTGCATGCAAATGAACTTAAAGGTTCTACTACTGAAGGCTTCCAAGAGCCCGCCTGCACACAGCTGTTTATATCATTCTTATGTCATAACATAATAGCTATGCTAAACAGCTAGTAAGAGAGTTGGTGGCTTTTAAAAAATTGCCCCAAATGTACAACAAACAGGGGATCCAGCTAAAGGTTAATTATGCCATTGACAACAGTGGCACTTTAAAGAAAGAGGGGCCAGTAGCTGTAGATCATTACTGTACATGGATTAGCTATTGCAAACAGCACAATTAGGTATACTGTAATACACAGGGTTTTATTATTAATATTATTGATGTCTGGGACAACCATTTTTGAAACCTCCTTCTTACCTTGACTGCATAATTGTTGAGGGGATCTTTTGCATAAGAAGCTGGGTAGTAAACTGCATCACCTGCTTCACAGCATGGCCTGTCACTGGTTAGCCTGAAATCTGACCAGCTGTCCACTCCAAATCGCAGCTGGTCTTTCTGTCCTGCCATGAAAAGATCTTCGCACTGGTTTGCCAACTTCTTCAGTGAATCAGTATGAAGGCTTCTAATTTTGCCTACCACCTCCTCTCGGTTCTCAATTCCTCGATAAAGTCCTTGCCTCTGTGGCTTCTGTATATTCTTGCTCTGCTTAGTCTGAGAGATGTATCTCCCAGACAGAGACTCCATGCTGTTGGAACACCTATCCTTAATACTGGGAGTGGTTAGGCTAGAAATGCTGTTGGCTGTTGAGTTGGTTGCTTTTCCTTTTCTTAAAGGCCTGTCCAAGGAATCTCCTGACTCATTGTCCAATGCCTTGAGTTCTGAGCTGATTGAAGAGCAGGCACTGCTTGCTTCCCAGTTGGTATCAATGTCATATGTAGGGTTGGCCACAACACAGAGATTGTTCTCCAGGGTCTGTTTCTGAAGTTCTTTGGGGATCGGCTCTGTGTTGGCTCTCAAAATGGTTTTCTTTGGCAGTGGAGGTGGTGTTGGCTGTAAGCTGTTAGTTGCCTCTTGGTCTGCTATTCCTCCAAAGGCAATGGCATCATCCAAAGCTCCCTTTGGCTGCCGGGGCTGCTTTGGAGGTATCATGGCTGCCCTGGACTGACCTGTGTAATAAAAAACAAACAAACCCAAAAGCTTTAGAACACTTTGGATTTACTGTGACTGCATATTCACACTTCACAAAAAAGTGTAAGTGGGCAACTGAGAAAATAGCTGGATGATTGATGTAGATGACCACAATCTCCTCAAATCCAAGTCTGACAAAAAATGAAGGTATGAGGCTGGTGCTTGGAGGGATAAAACTAACATAACGAAACCAGCACCAGATGTATACTATCACATAAAGAATACCTTGACTTGTTTAACTGGGCCTGTGCATAAAACAGGTTTCAGTGCTAGCATCTTACATTTCATGAGCTTACTTAAAACATGAAAGAGAATGCAAATCAGAAGTATGGACTGTCAAGCCTAGCATTCTAGACGAATTCCAATCTGAGTAATTACATTCTGTCTCCCTTAATTCCCCCTGCAGGCAGCTGATTACAGTATTCTTCCTCACTTCCTGTTCTAAACTGTTATGTACTTTGAGTGGGTGCTTCTGTATTTCACCCCAGAGATGTCTACATTTTACTGGTGGATGGAGTGATCCCTCTTTGTATATACGCATGGTAATTTGTAAAACACTTTGGGATCATCTGATCTGAGAGGGGTTACATACATTCAAAATATTATAAAACATAAACCAGGACAAATAGCACACTGTAGATATCTAAGCAATGATATCAGAGATAATCAAGTTTGTCTCTGCAAATTCATTAGTAACTTCATAACAAACAGAAGAGTAAGAGCCTAAGTCTGCTACCATTTAATTGACAAGATTTCCCCCACTAATTTCAGTAAAAGCAGGACTGGGTTCTGGGACTGCAGAAATATACAAGCTTACTTCCCTTCCCCCTACCCCCCCCTCCGCAGCCCCCAATATCAGAGATTAATAGAAATAGTAATGATCCTTTCCCTTTCCCCCTTTCCCTTGCTTTCCCACACCCCTTTCCCTTGCTCATTTTTCAGTGGCTGCTGTATTGGGACTATTACATGCATAGACATCCTGATCTAGAACCAGTCAAGAGATTCCAATCTGCAGTTTTGGATACACAAAAAACCTGAATTTCCACTGACAGCCTGTGCTTCCTGAGAGGATAAAACTTCCTGTAATGTGTTTTGGTTGGATTTTAGAGAAGGCAATTATGAATCCTTCAAAAATTGGGGGTTGGGGTGGGGAGAAAAACAGGATGAGTGACAGATGTGCTGCTCTGTGAGGCAACCGCTCCTTGTATAAAAATAAAATGATGCATTTTTTTCGTTTCTAATAAATCAACTGCTATTTTGAGAGGAGTTATTTTGTAAATTTTCTACCACATCTGTGGGGATCATTGACCATAATTATAAGGTAGGAAGGCAATTTCTACAAATGCAATGGAGTAAGCATGGAATGAACTCTATCTAGTTCAGCAAGAGATATTGAAACTATTTGATTATTGGATAAGAGTGGGGTGCCCCACTGAAGGTCTCTAAATTAGAAATGGGCCTGGACTGGAACCCTCAATCCAAACATCCCAGAACTTTGGGTAGGTTATAATTCAGATCTGAACCTCCTTACCTGGTCTCATACATAATACAAATGCATTATGGAACCTTTTGCAAGGGAATATTTTCCTCCCTCAGATTTTAAAATACATAATCACAGCTGTTATGAAAGTAATAGAATCCATGATTAACTCCCACTCTGCAGGACAACATGCACTATCAATTGGAATATTGGGCCACACTGCTAATAAGATATTTTAATTAAGAAGATTGAGGAGTTTTGTATTCCTTGGGACTGTGAAAGGCAATGGAAGTTCAGAAAGAGTAAAACACTGTATCTGGAGTTCTTTTTGATCATTTCCTCATGATAATACTGAGAGAGGCACTGAGTTGTGAGTAGGAAGAAACTGTAGGATTTATGTCCACAGAAGGTAGGGTAGCTCTGTTTGGCATGATCTTCAGGAAAGGTCACATGTGGCTGCTCTCTCAGGCTATCTCCTTTTAGCTCCCACAAAATAAAAATGTCCAAAGACAGGAGGCAGTGGAGGGTCCAGGTAATAGCCTAACAGTACAGGAAGTAGATGAGAAGGTTAGTCTTGGCAAGGACTGCAAAAAGAAGAGACACAGTTCACAGCCAGTGTCATAAAAATATTTGGATGGACCCCCAAAGCACAAATTCAAATGAGCTCCCCTTATACAACCTGGAAGTGCCTTCCTTTCCACTTCTTACCCCTTTTTTCTCAACCACCCAAATGGCCATCTTAACTTACATCAGCATCTCTTTATATTCCCCCTTACAAAATCTGTGGCTATGCACCTCTTCTTAAGTCTCCCTCAAATGCCTGTTGACTTTGTCCCCTCTGTCTACACCCTGCCTCCAAGTTCACCTGTCCATTTCCTGATTCCTATGCTCTTCCACAGTATAGCTCCTTACTTATTACATCAGCTGGTGGTTGGTGAAAAAGACCATTGCTGCTTGTCTGCTACCACTTCAGCATGCAGTCTCCTAATGTATGTTGCTTTCATGGCTGGCCAAGCCAGAGGCTACAGCAGAAACTTGGGGAGTAACGGGAAGACATATTAGAATGAGATGCACATGCAAGCCGCAGCAGGAGCCCCTGCAGTGAGGGTAAGCTATATGACTGCTCATCCTGCTGCTCTACTCCCTGTTTGCGGTTTCTCCTCCATCCGCCACAGACTAATCAGATGGGAAGGAGGTTGGCCCTTGGAACCTGACTCTTCTCGCTGTAATAGTTATGGCTCCTGCACAGCTACTTGGAATCATGGGCATCAAAGTACCATTGGGGTATTAGAATCATAGAATATCAGGGTTGGAAGGGACCTCAGGAGGTCATCTAATCCAACCCCCTGCTCAAAGCAGGACCAATCCCCCACTAAATCATCCCAGCCAGGGCTTTGTCAAGCCTGACCTTAAAAATATCTAAGGAAGGAGATTCCACCACCTCCCTAGGTAATGCATTCCAGTGTTTCACCACCCTCCTAGTGAAAAAGTTTTTCCTAATATCCAACCTAAACCTCCCCCACTGCAACTTGAGACCGTTACTCCTTGTTCTGCCATCACCTACCACTGAGAACAGTCTAGATCCATCCTCCTTGGAACCCCCTTTCAGGTAGTTGAAAGCAGCTATCAAATCCCGCCTCATTCTTCTCTTCTGCAGACTAAACAATCCCAGTTCCCTCAGCCACTCCTCATAAGTCATGTGATCCAGTCCACTAATCATTTTTGTTGCCCTCCACTGGCCATTTTCCAATTTTTCCACATCCTTCTTGTAGTGTGGGGCCGAAAACTGGATACAGTACTCCAGATGAGGCCTCACCAATGTTGAATAGAGGGGAATGATCACGTCCCTCAATCTGCTGGCAATGCCCCTACGTATACATCCCAAAATGCCATTGGCCTTCTTGGCAACAAGGGCACACTGTTGATTCATATCCAGCTTCTCGTCCACTGTAACCCCTAGGTCCTTTTCTGCAGAACTGCTGCCGAGCCATTCGGTCCCTAGTCTGTAGCGGTGCATGGGATTCTTCCGTCCTAAGTGCAGGACTCTGCACTTGTCCTTGTTGAACCTCATCAGATTTCTTTTGGCCCAATCCTCTAATTTGTCTAGGTCCCTCTGTATCCTATCCCTACCCTCCAGCGTATCTACCTCTCCTCCCAGTTTAGTGTCATCTGCAAACTTGCTGAGGGTGCAATCCACACCATCCTCCAGATCATTTATGAAGATATTGAACAAAACCGGCCCGAGGACCGACCCTTGGGGCGCTCCACTTTGTACCGGATGCCAACTAGACATGGAGCCATTGATCACTACCCGTTGAGCCTGACAATCTAGCCAACTTTCTATCCACCTTATAGTCCATTCATCCAGCCCATACTTCTTTAACTTGCTGGCAAGAATACTGTGGGAGACTGTGTCAAAAGCTTTGCTAAGGTCAAGGAACAAATAATAATAATAATAATAATGGGATTTCTGCACCTTTCTTTGTCTTCCAGCACAGGACATTTGCAAGAAGGCTGATGACAGCCCACTCATCCATCTGGTGCAGAAGGGAGATGTCTGCTGGCAATGATGGAACCCATCAGAAAATTTGACATAAAAGTCCAAAAACAGTTACTGTACACATTTTTCAGACCCAATTTCAACCATTGCCTCGTATTCCCAGTCCATGGAAATGAATCTGTAAGATATGTCATGCCAGAATATAGATTCTTCCCCACAAGGACAAGTTTTTCCTAGTGAAATTCATCCATCTGGATTAAGTGTTTGAAAAGCTTCATATCTCTGCTGTTTTTATGCTGAGCTCTTAACCCTGTTCATTCTTCTCGTGCCTCTAGGGCCAACCCTTCTAGTTCAGCTTTCCAAAGGCTTGCTGCAACATTGCATGCCCCACATTCTTATGTCATAGAGTCTCTCTGAGGAAGAAAAATGTTTGTCTTTTAAATCCTGCTCCTCTCTCTGTGTACAGAAAAATAGTTCTTTTAAACAAAGGTTAGCGGCAGAACAAATGTTTCTCCTTCTTGCCTGTCACCTTTCCCCAGCTTTCTTAACATCCTTCACTTCACTGCCTCCTGCACAGGCTCTTCAATATTACAGAATACAGTCTGAACTTCACCCTTGGAGGCAGATGAAGAGGAGGAACAGGCTGCATATTAAATATCACTTAAAAAGGTCCTTAAAAGGCTTCCAAACTATGCAAGAGGAAAGAAGTTAACTCTGTAACAGCTTTCTCAACTGAATACAGATGACAGCTTTAAGGAATCGTGCAGTGCCATAACATCTTACACTTGAGACCCTTACAGTGCTTTTTGAACATTCATGCATTAACCCTCACAACATCCTTCTGAGGTCATCACTAGGAACATCACTAAGGAACATCATTAAGTTAGCTTTAAAATGTCTGTAATTTTTTCCTCTCCAAGCTACTGATTTATTCTTCATACCTGGATTTGAAATCTTCTCTTGAATTAGCTTTGAATCGTAGTAATGTAGGGCTGAAA